AAAGGTCTTGGTCTAGATTTCTGTTCCAAACCCCTTTGTGAATCCCACAATAGACAGTTTAACCTGTCACTGTGTTTCTCTCGTGGGGGCACATAGGAACTACACGCTATATGGTGGTACTATATACCACCATAGCAGCCGTGTTGGCTGCCTGTCCAATTGCCATTTCTCTTGCTTTTGCTCCAATATGGCAGAGTTCACCTGTTACAAGAGAAGCTGCATACCAGATGCATACTTTCTCAGACTTTTAGGCAGCCATGAACGGCCATACAACCCAGTTCTCCCAAAAAGATACAAGTGTAATTATTTTGGAGGCGCTTCTAAGAAAGATTTCCATCCATGATAAAGAAGAGAAACATGAGAGGATGGCCCTCTTGCAAATCTATTTGCCCCTCTTCTTCTTGATGTGGTTGTGATGTTTGTAACCCGGGCAGCCATGTTGTAACTATAAGGCTACAAGCTCTAGGATGAAAGTGGAGCCTTCTGAGGATGCTGAGAATGATGAGGAAGATGGAAAGACATTGCACTCTTTGTGACATCATCGAGCACCAAATCTGGAACTTCCTACTTTTAGGAATGAAATTCCTGCTGTTTTAACCACTTTTTGTCAGGTATTTTGTTACTTGCAGGCAAAGGCATCCTAACTAGTATGGATGCCTGATAATTAATGATATATTCTTGTCTTTGTTTTTTAGAAGAAAGAGGTCACTGGCATACCCTTCCCTCAACCTTGTCACCTGGCTGTCTCTTACTCATCATCATCACTGCACTATATTATATTACTCCTTTACTCGTCATTTCACCTCATAAAGTTTTTGTGAGGGAAGAGACCATGGCTGTCTGATTCACTATTGTAGTTACAGTTCCTGTTATGTAGTAAACAGCCATTCAATAAATGAATGAATGGCGGCTATCAAGGAGGTGGAACCCTCAGCACTTGGCTATCTATTTCCTGGAGGTGAGAGAATGAGGTCAAGGATGGCATCCTGTTTCTGGCTTTCCCAGTTGGGTGGAGGGTGCTACCTTTCTCCATGAGTCAACATGGGAGGGAGAGAAGAATAGTTGAAGAAGATGAGTTTTGTCTGGATATGTTGAGTTTGAGGAAGTGCTTTTGGAACAGTCCCTATAGGGAGTTGAAAATAAGGTCTGGATTGAAGCATGAGAAGGATGGGATTGGCGAGGAAGAGTGTGCAGTATGAGAGGAGAAGTGACCCCTCAGTGCTCCATCGACGGTGTGGCACCACCATTCACCTTGTGGCCCAGTCTAGAAATCAGGAAGCCGTCCTTGACACCTCCCTCTCCCTCACCCTGCAAATCAACTCATCACAGAGTTCTGGTGATTCTGCCTCCTGTCTCTCATATCCATGAACGTCTCTCCATCACCACTGGAGTCCAAGCCACCATTACTTCTCTCCTGCACTATTGCAATGGCCTCCCAGTTGGTTTGCTCAATTCACTCCAGTGCCCTTTCATTCACCATAATCCAGCCACAGCAATCTTTTCACTCCTTGAAAGCACCAATCTCCTTTTCTTAAGGCCTTTATCCACAAGGTTGCCTTTGCCAAGGGTACCGCTCCCTTCACGTTCCACCTTCCTCCACCTCCTGCCTATTCCTTAGATTTCTGCCTAAACCTCCCTTCCTCAGGGAGGCCTTCCCTAACTACCCACCCGTCACCCTTTTGACCTTTGGGGCCTCAGAAACTTAACTTTTTTGGAGCACCATGGGGAGGGTGTGTGATTGGTGACATATAAAGTTTGGTAAATAAAATTTTAGAAGATTTATGTATAAAAATTAGAATTATCAACTAAAATGAGAAATGTAACTTTCAAGGATCAGAGAAGCTCATCAGTGTGGATACATGTGTTTTTACCCTGTAAGACAAGTCTACATAGGAAGCCAAATAGCTTGTGAGTACAGGATTGGACAAGGAGCATTAATTGCTTGGTCTATATAGTTCAGTTTACTAAACCATAATACCCCAGTGCCATTTCCACCACAGAGCTCACCCTTGACACCTGTGGCTGTCCCATCCCAAGTTCCAATACTGAAGACCCCCTTCCTAGGTTTTCTTCTTCTCCTGAGCCTCAGTGGTTGACTTTCTACCCCATTAGGTGGACCTAAGCTTGCTTTAGATAAGTTCATACCTACCAGGTTAATATTAAATAAGGTTAGGTCAGCCCTGGGAGCAATTTTCTCTTTTAGGTGACTTTGCACATGTCTGGTCTGATCTACAGCATCTACTTTATAGTTTAATGAAGAGCTGTGAAAGCAGACTATATTTATATATCATTCTCTAAAAGTCTATTATTTACCATATTCATTTATTAAGCCTTAAATTCCTTCAGGATCTGCATTGTTGACTGTTTTAGCAAGTGGAACTCTACAGCCTGGAAGCTATCAGCCCTCCTAATAGTCTGGGGCTTGTCAATGCAGATTCAAGAAGATGAAACTAAAGAGTGAAGCCTTTTGGAAGGAACTAGTTAGATAAGGAGAAAGGCTGAAAACAGTCTTGTGCATGAAATGTTATATTTACTAACCACAAAAATATTCTTGCAAAGTTGTTTATAAGAAGCTTCCTTAGAAATTCCTGGTTTCTTGTAAAACTTGGCTTTGATCTTGACATAATATCCGTGCTAATCATGTATCATGGATAACAGGCAAGTTGGCCCCTGTAGCTCCTAAAGGATAGAGTGTCTTTAGCATAAGAACCTCACAGCCTGTCATTCCTACCCCAGATAAAAGAAGACATAGAATGCCCAGATCACTCTGGAAAATTTATTTGAATTTACCTTGAAACCATAGGTGGGAGAATGTTATGACAGAGGGCACTTCAATAGGGAGACCCCATTGTGCCTTTTTTTAGTTTCCTTTTAGGGCTGCTTTGAAACTTATCATTCAAACTTGTTGAAGTAAATTTCCCTTCTTACCGTATTTTCTTTCAAATCTGCCAACCATGGTGAAAGGAGGTAGAAGAGAAGTGCTTCTGTGGCGGAGACAAGCATGGCTGTGGCTTTGGCCTCAGGGGATAAAATTCTGACAAGTGGCTTATTCTAGAGAGCTGACCCCTGAGGCATGCCGTGGCCCAGGGTCAGCCCTGATGGGGGTGCCCAGGACCTGTCTGGGAATGCATGGAAGTGGCTCTCGGGATATCGATCTCAAAGTGTTAGGAGCATGTTCTTAACAACTGTCCTCAGTTATTCATTCTCATCCCCGAGTTGAAAGAACAATGGATAGTTGAGAGGATACCCAAGGGGATGGGCCTGTCAATCTGAAACTGAAAAGGGTTTACTCAACTATGCATCTGGTGCTATTACCAAGTGTAAGGAAGGAATAAGGATCCTAGCACATGCAACATAAGCAATACTGACTTATGCTTGTGATTGTTCATATACATGATGGCTATCAATGGCACATTATACAAAACTGAGCTGTGAGCATAATTTATTCATGTACTTGCATAGAAATTTGTTATACAGACATTAGGAAAAAGTATAAGTGCTCTCTGCAAATACTTATTTTTAGGATAATAGTAACAAAAATAGCTTGAGAAAATTAATATCATTTAAATTCGACAACGTACAATGTTCCTATTTACAGATTTGTGTGAGCACAAGAAGATCCTACACGGTAGATCTCCGTTCTGAAGATCGACTTGGGTGCATTTTAGAGGCCTCTGGTTCACTCAGCCACAGCCTAGATTCTTCACTGCTGATGATCTTTGGTTATGCTTGTTTTCTTTTTTTCTTTTTTTTTCCCCACAATTCTTCTTTCACACATTCCCTAACAAGAAAGGGTTCAGTTCAAACACTGAAAATTGAGCTTCTCCACAGCAATATCCATAAACCCATGCCAGTTGCAAATTCATAGTTTCAAAGGCTTTGGTCACAGGATTTTAAAATTGGAACAATGTTTGCTTGCTTGGTTTCCTGAGAAAAGGAAGAAGTGAGCTTCTCCCTAAAATATTTGTAGGTTTACTTCCCTATTTCTGTTTATTCATTCGGCAAGCTGTGTATTGTGCACTGAGCACTGCAAACTGGAAGTGGAAAAAATCTTCAGGATTCCGACGTTTCACTTTCCAACCTCCAAACTATTGCACCATACATACTGAAGTGGAAGGTAAATGAACAGGACTTCTTTTTAAAATTAATTAATTAATTAATTAATTATTATTTATTTTAGAGATAGGGTCTTGCTCTGTCACACAGGCTGGAGTGCAGTGACATGATCGTAGCTCACCGCAGCCTCGAACTTCTGTGTACAAGCGATTTTTCCACCTCAGCCTCCTGAGTAACTGGTGTAGATGTGTGCTGCCACACCTGGCTAATGTTATTATTTTTATTTTTTAAGAGATGGAGTCTTGATATGTTGCCCAAGCTGGTCTTGAACTCCTGGGCTCAAGAAATCCTTTTGCCTCCATCTCCCAAAGTGCTGGGATTACAGGTGTGAGCCACTGTGCCCAGTCCCTGAATGTGACTTCTGTTGCTGTCTTCAGCATGTTTGGTGACAGAGCCTTTACGGAACTGGTAACTTTTAAATTAAAGAGAGGAAAACGGGAATCCTTACCGGTTTTTTTTTTTTTTTTTTTTTTTTTGAAAGACACAGTCTCACTCTGTCGCCCAGGGTGGAGTGCAGTGGTGCGATCTCAGCTCACTGCAGCCTCGGCCTCCTGGGCTCAAGCCATTTTCCCACCTCAGCCTCCCAAGTAGCTGAAACTACAGGTGCCCACTACCATGCCTGGCTAATTCTTGTATTTTTTGTAGATGTGGGGTTTTGTCATGCTGCCCAGGCTGGTCTTGAACTCCTGGGTTCAAGCGATCTGCCCGTCTGGGCTCCCCAAAGTGCTGGGATTACAGGCGTGAGCCACCACACTCAGCCCTTTATTTCTTTTTGGTGGTTCAAATGCCACTAGTTTCTGAGAGAGTGTGAGTGTGCAGAAAATAATGAGCTTTTTTAAATTAAGAAATTCAACAAGTTATAAAAATAACACCCATAAGCAATCTGACCTTTGCTTTCAGTCTTTATAAGACATCCTCAAATGATTTTAAAGAGCCTTTGGAGGTTGGCAACAATTCTATGCATTTGTGTCATTTACAAAATCAATTTAGGGATTAAAGTAAAAATACCTAAGCTGAGTATTTCATAAATCCAGTATATAACTTTTCTTTAATATGTAAGAACAGGTTAAGCCAGGAACTTCTCCTATTTTATCCCATTTAAAACAGATCATTTTTCATAAGGAAAAGTAATCTCTACTTAAAAAATCCTTTGCAATCTCTGAGAAAAGTTGCAATACAGAATAATTTTAATTGACAAAATTGCTTTCTTCCTCTTGCAGTCCTGTCAGTATGAAAAACCCCAACTATGTCCCATGAGAGAACGTCACACACACAAGGCATAGGGTGCAGACCATTGTTTGCAGGAAGTGGGGACCGAGCTCAGCTGTCAACTTGCCCCTCTGTGATATTGACTCTGGCTATAATGTGTAACTTGCATTGATTCAAAAAAAGCCAAACTGCTTATCACAGAATTCTAGATTAACTTCAATTTTGTGACTGTGAGTTCCATAAGGCTTAGTTGGTTTATGGGGTTTAATTTTTAATACTGTTAATGTCATCGAGCCAGCTAAACACCAACAATATCAATAAATACTAATAGTTTGTATTCACTCCCTCCTTCTGTTGGAGCACTTTGACTTTATATACATTCCAGTCTTAGTGCTGAGGCCCCATTCGGGTTTCAAATTCCATACCAGAGCACATCACCTGGATGTGGCTCTCATACGCTTGAGGATATTCCTGGAGTCGAAAGGAAAATACAAAATGAGCCTAAGAACAGATCGTAGATGCGTTCGTATGAAAGTTGATACTCATGAAAAACCGCAGTTTGCTGAGACCCTGGAAGTTAGCTGGAGCAGTCAGGCAGAAAGGCCTCGTGACCATGGCTACAGAGGGGGCTCGTTCTCACAAAGGACTTTCCACCATTCTTTTCCTGGCTTGCAGGTAGTAGATGCGGTTTTCTTCAGGATAAGTCACTTTACTGAGGGGCATCTTGTAGATGCTGGAATTTTTTGTGGTCATCATGAGGAACAATAGCGTGGCCAAACAAAAGGGCCAGGTACAAGCTGGCAATCCAATCTGGGGAAGAAGAGAAAGTCACACGCTCCTTTCAGATCCCATCTGACAGCTGAGCTACACAAAGCATCCCCCCTCTACTTGCACTCAGCCCAAGGGGATGAACCACTGGGGGCATTGCTCTGGATTCTGTGCATGCTCGTGGAGACTGAGTTTATAATCTCAGGGCATTGAGCTGTTGGAATGTTGACATCTATTCTTTAGGGCAGCCACTTATGTCTCTATCTTGTATGTATGTCTTTCTCTCCCTCTCATATATTCAGACTTCCTGCACCAGATGTGCCAAGAGGACATTTGACAAACAGATGACACTTGCAAACTGCAAATGGCCCCTGACCACTCTTCACATCCACAAGGCCTTCTCTGATTAGTCCAACCCACAGTGACCTCTCTGACCTTGACTTATGCCTGGTCTAGATCTTAGACTTGACTTGCTTTATTTCTTTCCATTCTGTCTCCCAAATAGACTCTAAGTTCCTTGAGGGTAGGTCCTCTTTGTGCTGCCCATGGAAACTCACACAATTCTGAGCGTATGCCATTGGTTAGCTCTGGCCTGATGCATGGACCTCCCTGGGGTGTGATGGAGTATAGGGGTACCCTAACCTGACTGCACATCAGAATCATCTGGGGGAGTTAAAAAAAAAACATGGATGTTCAAGCATCGTACAAGATCTACTCTATCAGAAATACCAAGGACACAAGGCCTAAGGCTCCATATTTTCCCGTCTTCCTAGCTGACTCTGGTATGCAGCTTGCCCATTTGGGTCCATGGACTGATGCCTGTGAACCTTCTTTGTTGACATGTGGAGGGTCCCGTGTGCTCTGATGTACTCTCCATCATGTATGCCTGTAATGGGACTTTGGCTTTCTACCAGAAAGATACTGTGTCTCCTTAAGGACCCTCCCAGATAAAATCTCTATGCTGTTGCCAAGAGAGCTAGATATTGCCTTGACTCCTTAGCAGCCATGACGACATCAACATGGACTGAGCTATCAGAAACTGGCCCTGCAATGGAATATCTGGCTTTCTGTTTAAGTAAAAGGTATCCTAAAGTAAAAGGTATCACCTGCAATGGAATATCTGGCTTTCTGTTTAAGTAAAAGGTATCCTAAAGTCAACTTCTTATCACTCAAGAGTTAGACTCTGAACTTGACAATATGTTATACAACCTAAGTTTCATTTTTTTAAACCAAGCAATCTGATATTTGTAACATACTGGGTGATTGTGGTTTGGACTAAAGTTTGCTGTGATGCTGAAAGAAAGGCCAGGGAGTTCCAGCAGAAGGTAGGGCAGTGCTTCTCACGGTCGTGGATCCTGCCACTGGATGCCAGCCCAGTGGACTTCAGGAGCATTTCCCATATAGTCGTAAGCTGGTCAATTACGCGAATGAAAAGTGAGACTAAACCACACTCACCCTAGCCATAACGTTTGCCATGCCGACTCCAAGATAGGCCGTGAACAGGGCTACAGAAAAAAAAAGGAGAGAGAGAGAAAGAACAATGCTTGGTAGATGCACTTTTAATCACAGGAAAGGCTGCCTTCCAATATAAATCACCTGGAATGCACAGTGCGCTGATTACAAGCATGAGTCTAAAGTCAGCAGTCCTGGATTCAAATCCTGGCTCCACCACTTAGGAGCTCCATGGGCTCTGTTTTAAGCCTCCATTTCCTCACCTGTACAATGGAAGTAAAAGGAATATCTCTTTCATGGTGTTGGTGTGAGGATGAAAGGAAATAATGCATGTGTTTAGCACACAGTAAGTGTTCAATAAAGGTAGTTGTTTTATGGTTACTATTTTGTTGTTATTGCTAATACTTAAGGGAAAGGCCTTCTATGGAAAATAAATTTCTCTGATGTTTTATCCAAGCATAGCTGGATTAAATGAAATTATCCAAGCATAGCTGAATTAAATGAAACCTATTAATGTTTCTTGAGATAGCATCTAGGATTCTCATATTAATGAATAGGATTCAAAGCTACAAAAAATCATAGTGCTTGCTTTGGCAGCGTGTGTACTAAAAACCAAAACAAAACCATGTTTATAAAATAAGAAGGAAAGAAAGAAGGAAAGAACTCAGAGAACAGCAGGAACTGAACACAAACTTGGGATTCCTCCCCTTGATAACATCTTCTCCAATACCATTAAAATCAATGAATAAATGTCTTATGTTTTTATTTACTTTGAGTGGCCAAAAAAATTGTAGAGTCAGTAATTTGAGTATATGGGTGACTTTCAATGTAAAACAACTAATGCAAAGATCTCAACCAGATAATTATCTATTCCTCAGTTTTGGTTGAAGAGAAGGCTCATGGAGGCTCAGGGAAGCCCTCAGGTTTCATGGGGATAGCCTGAAGAATGACCTTCATATAATGGCCACCTAGCCACTTGGGCCACCAGAGCTCACCGTTAGACACACTCACCATCTTGTCTCCATGTCTGGTGAGAAATCACATCAGCTATCTTGGTGTGTGGGGATGTGGCAGGACATGGTCGCCAGCGGTGGGGGAGCTCTGTGATCCTCATTTACTTTACCATAGACTTCTGTCCTTTCACCAATATTTTGTCTTTTTATCCTGGTGTTTCTTATTCAATAGCATATCAAATTCTTTCATGTATGAATTGTCTCACACTAGTGGGAAGGGCTGGTCTTTGGAAACAGTACTGGTTTAAAATCCCAGCTCTGCCATTTTATTTGTTGTATAACAAATCACTGAATGTCTTGGAATCTAGTTTCATCATCTGTAAAAAGGCATCTTGAAGATCTGCCTTACTGGGAGGCGATGAATCTCGAATGAGAGATTTATTTCCATAAATACAGCTGTAAATGCATCTCTTTCACCATGGGACTGCTCTGAGCAGAAGGGTGCTCACGGCTTGGCTTAGAAGGGTTTCTCTCCTCGGTTACACCAATTTCATTCATTGTTAAAGTTTAATCAATTAATTCAACAACTATTCACTGGCCCTCTGCTAAGCACTGGGGTCCTCTGTCCCTGATCTCTTGAGTGCCCCTTTTGCTACAACACCACCCCTGAGCACATGAGGCCTTATTGCCTTCTCTCTTTTTAAAATATCCATTACACTTCTAAGGCTCACTTTTGGCACGTTTACGTCTCATACTGTTATGTTGCTTTGAAGTGATCTCCAATTCAAAGTTGCTTTTCTCTCCATAGTAAAAGTGATAGATTATTTAATGGTAGGCATGTCAATTAAGACTCGCCAAGTAGGACTGGGAAAGCCTTACAGTAGAGGGGCAATTCTGCACAACATCATCAGTTTGTAGGCAATGACCCTGACAACGTTCTTGGTAGCTGAGGGAAGAAAAGGCCCTTGAGTACTGAAGGGGAAACTGGATTTTAGCTCCTCCTGGATAGTGTCCCTTCCAATGGGTGAGTCCCACTGTGATAACCCAACCATTTGGAAGAGATACACAATGTGTTTACAGTCTCCACTGATAAAACAACAACACTGAGATATTCTCTGGCCATGCAGTTGCTCTGGCTTAGAGGCCAGAAAGACAGCAGTGCCAGGTTCTGTCAGAGTTTCCTGAGTCCACTTCCTTATAAAAGCCATCGGGGACTAACAAATAACAGCTCTATAATAAATGTCTGTACTTATTTACCTTGGCTGACAGGGTTGGTCTTTTGTTTGGCAGTATCAGGGTGATGTGGACAAGCTGAAACTTGGTGTGGCATTTTACATGTGAGATTCGCTTTCCAAGGGGGGCTGGAGATCTGTCTCAAAAATCCATGCACAGAGATTTAAAAGTCTGATTGTACCCTGTGGGAGCCCAGTGGGCACTCTCACACACTGCTGGCAGCAGTGGAAACTGGTATGGCTTTTTTGGAGATAAAGTTGGCATCCATTGAAATAAAAATTGGCATTCCCTTTAACCCATCAATTTAGCTTCTTGAGAAAAAGGTGAATCTTCTTACAGAAATGCTTGTACAAAGTACACAAGGACATTTGTGCCAAAAATATTCATTGCAGAACTGTTTGTAATGATTTCAAACTAGAAGCAATCTGAACTTTCCCCAGCAAGAGGGCACTTATCATATAAAGTGTCTCTACACAGTCACCATCTCCATGGCCTTGAGCAGTGGAGGTTCTATACCCTGCAGCATGGGCCCCCTTTTTCATTAAATACACCAGGAAAAATGCAGCTCCAGCCTGGGCTTCCATCTCTGCCCAGAGACTCACCCAAACAGCTGATATCCTGAGGGAAACATGAGCTCCCAAGACAGGGAAAGGGGACATCCCAGGAGAGCAATACCATAAAAGAAGGACGACAAACTGAACAACTTACAGTTGAGATATATATATATATATATATTTTTTGAGACAGAGTCTCGCTCTGTCACCCAGGCTGGAGTACAGTGGCGCGATCTCGGCTTACTGAAACCTCCACCTCCCGGTTTCAAGAGATTCTCCTGCCTCAGCCTCCTGAGTAGCTGGGACTACAGGTGTGTGCCACCACACCCAGCTAATTTTTGTATTTTTAGTAGAGATGGGGTTTCACCATGTTAGCCAGGATGGTCTCAATCTCTTGACCTTGTGATCTGCCCCCCTTGGCCTCCCAAAGTACTGGGATTACAGGTGTGAGCCACCGCTCCCAGCCAATAAAATTTAATTAATAACCCAGAAATGAAGAACTCAATGAATGATGTGATCAGCACAATGGACAGAGCCAAAGAATGATCAGGCCAATCAACTGAACTGAAGGGCCTCATGAAAAGATAAAGAGATGGAAAATATTAAGAAAAAGTCAAGAGTTATGAAAAAATAGCATAAAGTATTACGCTGAAATACTAGAAATCACAGAAGGAGAGGGGAAAAATGGAAAAGATTTGACAAAGTGAAAAATGATGATGTTCCTAGAATTAAAGGAAGAGATGAGGGCTTACATTGAGAGGATTTGAGTACCTAGTAGGAAAAAAAAAAAAAAAAAAAAAAAAAAAAAAGCTACATCTAGACAGATAATAGTGAAATAAAACCATATATATATCTCATACGCAAAGAGAAAATTCAGAGAGTCCAGAGAGGAAAAATAAAATCAACTTTAACAAGAATTAGTTTCTTTTCAGATACCTTAATAGCAATTTTGGGTATAAGAAGACAATGGAGTAGTCTTTGAAGACAATTTTCAAAATATTGAGAAAAAAATGTTAAATCTTGAGTTTGTAGCCAGCTAAACTAAAATTTAAATGAAGGTGAAATGAAGATGTTCTCCAGCATACAAGGTCTCTTTGCAGACCCTCTTTAAAGAAAACAAAACTCTCTTTGCAAACCATCTCTGAAGAAGTAATCCAGCAGTAATCCCAGCACTTTGGGAGGCCGAGGTAGGCGGATCACTTGAGGTCAGGAGTTCGAAACCAGCCTGGCCAATATTGCAAAAACCTGTCACTACAAAAAATACAAAAAATCAGCTGGGCATGGTGGCGCATGTCTGTAATCCCAACTACTTCGGAGTCTGAGGCATAGGAATCGTTTGAACCCAGGAGGTGGGGCTGCAGTGAGCTGAGATTGTGCCACTGCACTCCAGTCTGGGAACAGAGTGAGACTTTTTTCTTAAAAAAAAAAAAAAGTACAGAAGGTTAATATGAACTAAGTCAGAGTGAATAAGCAGTTAATAAAGTTTACAGTTGCCTAAATAAGCAAGTACCCAAAATAAAAACTTACACTTAACAACGAATCCAAAATAAAAATTCTATACAGTATCAATGGTTTTACTAGTTGTTAGGGGTGGGCCTTCTCAGAGGAAGTAAAGGCAGGTTCATGTATCAGTCATATTTGGGGAGAAGATACAGGTGTTAATAAACTTAAGAAATTGACAGGAGAAAATAAACAAGCTTGATTCTTAATAAGTTATGCAAAGCCACCAGAAAAACTTTTTTCCAGACTTTTAAATAGCGCTTACCGAGTCCTAGACACTATTTGTTCTATGAGTTTCGGACATGCATTAACTAATTTAATCATCAGAACAATTGTATGAATTAAATATGGTAACTTCCATTTTCTAAGATGGGGAAACTGAGGCATAGAAAAGCAGATTACTTATAATTTGCTTACATTCATAAGCAAATATGCTAGTAAGTAGCAGAGCTGCTGGAATTGAATCCAGGCTGTCTGGCACCAGAGTCTGAGCTCCATAACCAGCTCAGTAGACTGCCTCAACCATTATGCTACACCAGTGGAAAAAAAAGAGTATCTATCCAAAGGAAGGTGAGTGTGGTAGGAAGAATAATGGTCTCCAAAGATGTCCACATTTTAAACCTCAGAACTTGAGAATATGTGACCTCACATGGCAAAAGGGAATTAGTAGCAGCTGTGATTAAGTTAAAGACCTTGAGATGGAGAGAGTTTCCTAGACTACTGAATGGACCCAGTGAAATCACAAGGGTCCTTATGAGAAGCGGGCAAAAAAGCCCTCTCTGGGGAGTAAAATGGAGTATTTCCACTTCCTGGTTCAGACATTTCTATACAGATTACATTTTTGTTTTGTTTTATACAATAAACCTGTGCTGCTTCTATAATTGAGAAAATATCAAAGATATTCCCACTTTGGGGAAACACATGTCGAGAGCTTTGGCTTCATCCTTCTCCATGGTCTGTCAAAACCTCATCACCAGCCGGGCTCGGTGGCTCACGCCTGTAATCCCAGCACTTTGGGAGGCCAAGGCAGGCAGATCATGAGGTCAGGAGTTCAAGACCAGCCTGGTGAAACCCCATCTCTACTAAAAATACAAAAAAATTTAACTAGGCATGGTGGTGCGTGCCTGTAATCCCAGCTACTTGGGAGGCTGAGGCAGGAGAATTGCTTGAACCAGGACCCAGGAGGCAGAGGTTGCAGTGAGCTGAGATCATGCCATTGCATGCCAGCCTGGGCTACAGAGCAAGAATCCATCTCAAACAACAACAACAACAACATAAAACAAAAAAAAACTCAGCACCCACCAGGTGCGGTGGCTCACGCCTGTAATCCCAGCACTTTGGGAGGCCGAGGTGGACAAATCACGAGGTCAGAAGATCGAGATCAGCCTAGCCAACATGGTGAAACCCCATCTCTACCAAAAATACAAAAATTAGCTGGGCATAGTGGTGCGTGCCTATAAGCCCAGCTACTTGGGAGGCTGAAACAGGAGAATCGCTTGAACTAGGGTGTTGGAGGTTGCAGTGGGCCAAGATTGTGCCACTGCATTCCAGCCTGGTGACAGAGCGAGACTGTGTCTAAAAAAAAAAAAAAAACCACAAAAAACAAAACAAGACAACAAAAACAAAAACAATGGAAAAACAAAAACCTCATTGCCATCTCCTGTGCTCTCAAAATGCCTTCTCCTTGATCTTGAAGGACATGCTCAGGCTGTCCTTCCCTGCACCACCCTTTCCACCAAACAGAATTCCTCCTCTTATTTTCTAGCATTTATGGAAAAGCCCCCTTCTCCAGGAGGCACTTGGTGATAATTCTGAATGGAAATGGGCCCCTGGAGAATCCTGTACTGTGGACTTCTCCTTCTTCTTCCACAAAGATTGCACGGTCCTCTTGGGCTCCCTCTCTTGCCTGGCTTCTGCCCTCTACTGTAACACTCTGTGTGCAGGAACTGCATGGATCCTAAAGCTCCTAAACTCCTTGCTCTTCCTGGTACTGTCTTAATTGTATCATGTGTGTTTAATACATATTTATGGCTACTGCCTCCAGAAAAGTAAAGGTATGCATCCCAAATAAAGGTTTGAAACCCCTAACCAATCTCAGAGTAAAGCTGAAAGGTTGTAGGATAAACATTTGAACCCAGCTGAACTCAGGTGGAAACTCCTAACCAATCTCAGAATAAAGCTGAAAGGTTGTAAGATAAACATTCTAACACAGCTGAACTCAGGTGGCTACAGCACCTGTCTGTAACCCTCTCCTTTATCCTAAGCTCGTGAACAAATTTGGAGAAAGAGCACAACATTTCAACAGAACTGTTAGGTTAAATAGCTGAGTAATAGTAAATAACTTGACAAAAATGACGTCTACATGGCTACACCCAGCAACCTGAGTTATGTATATACTCTTGCTATAGCATCACATCAAAATGGAATGGGTCTTTAGAAACCCTTGGTACCATCCCATTTTCTAGTGCAGAAATCTATTCTAAACCCTGCCTTATACGTGGCCCACCGTTTTCATAACGGTTTAAATATTTTGGCTTGATTAATCTGGTGATAAACTGACTCTAGACATATATTTCCACTAGATCAGAAATAATTTCTCCACATTACACTGTCCCGCCTCCTTTTTGTTCCCAAGTGAATCTCATTCTCTCCACTCTAGAACATTATCTTAAATGCTTACACTTTGATTGCATTAGGGATGCCAGAGGCTATGGGTGAATGAGCTGCCACTCACAATCCACCTGGGACTTCTATTAGCTTTTCAGATTCAAATCACATGCAATCTGTTTTCACCTAAGAGGTTGCCATGAGGGCCTGAATGCTACAAAAGGGAAGCAGAGGAGTGTGGTGGGATAACTCTGGAAGTGGATGGTAAGTGTGGGTTCTGGGTGTGGATTTACCCATCACTGTCCAGATTCCCTGCGGCACATTCCTTAGTCTCTCTGGCCTCAGGACCCCAACAGTAAAGTAAGAAGGATGGAGTGGAGGTCTCAGGGTGCCTTCTTCCTCTGACAGGCTGAGTCTGGCTAGAACACTGGGAGTCAGAAAGGATTAATACAGCAGTTCTTGAAATGTGGTCTCGAGAGCAACAGCATTAGTGCCTCCTGAGAACTTGTTAGAAGTGGAAATTCTGCCGGAGTGGTGGCTCACTCCTGTAATCCCATCACTTTGGAAAGTGGAGGTGGGAGGATTGCTTGAGCCTAGGAATTCGGGATCAGCCTGGGCAACATAGGGAGACCCGGTCTCTGTAAAAAACAAAAAATTAACCAGGCGTGGTGGCATGCCTGTGGTCCTAGCGACTTTATTTGGGAGGCTGAGGCTGCAGTGAGCTGTGTTCACACCACTGCACTCCAGCCTGGGCAACATAATGAGACCCGTTTTTGTTTTTGAGATGAAGTTTTGCTCTGTTGCCCAGGCTGAAGTGCAGTGGCACAATCTTGGCTCAGAATGAGACTGTTTTTCAGAAAAATTAAAAAAAAAAATCTTTCCCCCACCTCTAAACGAATCAGACTGGGGGGGGGGGCAGCGATTTGTGTTTTGACAAGTCTTTCAGGTGATTCTGATGCATTCTCAAGTCTTAGAATGGCTGGGTTACTGTGACGCTCAAAGGGGTAAATGTCATCAACCCTGATTCACCAGGGGACATTGCTTTGTATTTAGCTGGAGTTATTTCCCTTTAGTTTCTTGGGTCAAACAACTAGTTTGAAGAACGTAGGACAAGTCAGTTGAAAGCAAAAGTAGTGTCAGCTGTGGTCCCTGCCATCCCCAGTGGGAGGCATGGCAGATCCTCACAGCCAGAAGCAGCGAGTGGCACGACGCTGGGAGCTTCTTGGTGGCCAAGGCCAAGTGTCAGCATAAGCAGGAGAGCCCATGAGCACGGGGGAGCTTTGAGAAGGCATGTGTGGCATGCATCAGGGAAGGGCTGGTGTATCTCTAGGGATAAAGCTGAAGAATAACTGGGATTTTTTTTCTATCCTCCCAAACATCCATATTTTAGGATGTTAATATGACTCAATAGGCTCCTGCCTTCACAGTCATCAGAGAGGTAGGCAGAGGTGACTTTAATGCTCTCAGGGGACGTCACTTGTCCTGTTCACACATTTAGCAAGTGGGCTCAAGCCAGAACCCTGGCCCTGATTTTTCACGCAGTCCGTTTTTACTGCTTGTCCTTGATTGAGATCCTGTAGTCATGGGCAGCCCTCCCCCAGGGGTGTGGGAGACTCACCACAGCCAAGAGCCAGGAGGTGGGTTTGCCAGGTGAGCGCCACGAACATTCCTCCCATTGCAATGCAGGCCAGAGAGCTGTTGAAACCCCAGAGTCCAAAGTAGATGTCCTCAAATGGGGCTGAAAGACTGAGTCCTGTTAACAAGACAGGAGGGGTCAGAGCTCAGGACTAAAGGCAGGATGTTTGGAAGGAGACTGAGGGTGGGATTGAAGGTTAGCAGCAAGCATCCCAGGAATTCCCATTGGTCCCTAGGAAGCCATGATCTCAAAGATCTGGAGCACAGAAGATGCCTGAGGCAATGCACGGGATGGAGGAGGTGCTCAATATTTGGTAAGGGCTCTTGTGCTCACCTGCTGCTGTGCCCAGCAATGATCCGATTGCAGCATGCAGGCACATGAGTGGGGAGGAGAGTAGGATGGCTCCCAGGAAAATGCCCCCTGTCCATGGATTATCACAGCCATATATCTGACCAACTCCCACTGGTATAGATTTCAATAACTGCAAAAGAAATTTTTTTTAAAAATGCCACCGAAACAACTGAACAGAAACCCACAGGACACCCACAAACTCCTACAATATAATTTTACACTGGATATACCTTATCTCTTTCAAGAACAGTGTTACTACCTTTTAAAATTCCCTCTCCTTGATTACAGAAAAAGCCCAGTCATTCTTCAGCTTTATCCCCAGAGACACACCAGCCCTTCCCTGGTGCATGCCACACATGCCTTCTCAAAGTTCCCCCTGTGCTCACGGGCTCTCCTGCTTGCACTGACACTTGGCCTGGGTCACTGATAAGGTCTCAGTGTGGTGCCACTCACTGCTCCCAGCTGTGAGGCTCTGCCATGCTCCCAGTGGGGATGGCAGGAACCACAGCTGACACTTCTTTTGCTTTCAAATGTCCGTCAGTGCTGAGGGTGATCTAATCTATCCGTGCATCCCTTTGTTCAATAGAGAGATTATTATCACCATACAATTTGGATGCTTATGCTAAAGCCAGAGACCCAATACCAGGTTATCTTATCCACAATTTAGAAGCAATTATTAGCAAGTTTGTGAATTTTCTTTTCTGTCATTAAGTGGAACATGTATTCATTTAAACCAAGATATCTTTAGCTTATTCTAGTTACGAACAACTGTCAAGCAGGTCTAAAAACACAAAAATACATGGAAATGTCACAATTCTGCTTTCTGGCTGAGGCCTGAATTTAGTTATTCTGTTCACAGAATTGCAGTTCTCAGGAGTGAACAAGGTTTGACTGAACCTAACAAATGATCATTCTTTACAGCTGAACTTCTGGTTGGGCACCAGACCATAGTGTGAGTTTGACTCTACCCTAACATGGACTCAATTCTTCTAGCCCATGCTGGGTCTTCATGTCTAAACATTTTGGTATTTCTAGACCAGGGAACTTGGCAAAGACAGGATACCCTTTTTATTTTTATTTTTTTTTCCGGATTTGACTGCAGAACTCTGTCTCAGGTAGCCATAGGGTTGGGGTTGGTGCTGATGATGGACTGGTCATTCGGAGTGAGGAGAAGGACAAAGCTTCTCCTGCCCCAGATCAGCACTGTGTAGGAGAACTTTCTGAGATGATGGAATAGTCTGTATCTGTGATGTTTAACACAGTGGGTCCTAGCCACATGTGGCTATCAACCACTTGAGATGTAGCTAGAGAGGCTGAGGAACTCAGTTTTTAACAATACTACATCTAAACTTATACAGCCACGTGGGGCTAGTGGCTCCTGTATTCGTGCAGTTCTAGATAGATTAATGCTATTTTATACTGTTATTTTTCGTGGGTAGTTCTAATCTTTGATTTTTCCTTCTGAATTATTTCCAGGTGCTTCATTTAATTTTCTGGCAAGAAGCTAAAGAGAAGGTGACTTGAGCTCCTCATGTGTTTTGATCACTCAACAAAGAAGACAGAAAAGGGCGTTTCATAACCTGACAGTGGGAGAGCACATTAAAAAGGTAATGTGCTTTGGTTTTTTTGTTTGTTTTTTTGGTTTTCTTCTAATTTCAGGTATTCTCTTGTTCTTGATAGTCCAGAAACCTTAAACATATTTATTACACACCAACAGGAAGAGCTGGAATTTGATTTGGGTTAGCCAGGTTTTAAAAAGTACGAGATCTCTTTATGGTCATCTTTAAAGAGATACATAGGATTCATCCGTTAATACAGAGGTTCTCAAACTCTGGCCCGCATCACAATTTGGGGAGTTTGTTAAAACAGGTTCCAGTCCCCACACTTAGAGATTATGATTTAGAGGGTCTGAGATGAAGCCTGTTTGGGTATTGAAAACTCCCCAGGTGATTCTGATGCCTACCAAAGCTTGGGAACCCTAAATTATTGTAGATGTTCTATGAGCTATGCCATAAGGAAAAGCAGAATAGAGAGGTTCTGTCATAAACTCTAAGCATCCAGTTTTTTGATTGGAGGGAGTAGACTGTGGAAGATTTAAAACCAGGCTGGAGGCCACATGCCCTAAGGGCTGGCTCCCATCACCCACCCCCAAGCTTACGATGGAGTGACTCCCAGGGGAACTGTACTCTGGGGTTAGCACTGTAGATGTTTAGGGGAAAAGGCAGAAAAATTAGCTTGGCTAAATAGTAATTTTTAAAAATCCCTTAGACCCTAATGTTCTGGAGTAGAACAAATGCTTTAAATGGCAAGATGAAGGCAGAAAGGCCACCATAGTCCTGAGCATCTAGGGGACTCTGACATCTGTGGACAATTGACCAGAGGCCATTGCGTATCTTGCAGAGCCAGGGGGAATGTGAGAAGCCAGTGTCTTACCTCCAGGGCACTGAGGTCAGACCAGGAGATATTTGGAGCTGTAGTTACAGGTGTGACCAATTTGCCTGGAAAGAACGGATTGTAATGTCCTGTGGCTGAAAGGTACATTGACAGCGCCATGTTGAAAGGGAGGGTGAAGACAGGGAGGTCCCATTTGCTGAGCACGGAATTCAATGCGCTTGAGAAAATTGGGCTAAAAAAAGAACAGAGCAGAAGAATGTGTATGTGACAAACCAGGCTGACACATGGAATCTCGCTATACTCTGGAGGGCCTTTATTTCACCTGCCAATAGGCCCCTTACATGTTGTATTGGCAAATTTGCCACAGAAAGAAAACTTGGGATAAATTCTATTATAGAGGCAGTAAATACTACATAAAGTAAAAAAAATCAACTCTCAGCTTATTTGGCTTTTGAAAAATTCTACTCTGGGGTTGCTCAGAGTGAGCTATATATTAAGATTTAAAAAATATTTTTGAAGTACTTATGACATACAAAATAAAATAATGTCTACATAGTTAAAGTCCCCTTCATCCCTCTGCTTGCTCTTATGTCACTCCCTCCCCACTAGAGGCAACTGTGATCCTGATTTGGCATGTATCATTTCTTTAATATACCTATTTTTGGAAAAAAAAACCAATTGTTCAAGGATGCAGGTAGTGTGAGCTGGAGGAAAAGGATCTCACATTCGGAGGGGCAGAGTGTGCGTCCTTGAGCTGTTGATAAATTGCATGACCTAGGCAAGGTGCATCTCCTCAGGCTCTGAACCTATAAACTGGTGGGCTGGGCTGCATGGTCTCCAGGTCCCTTGTAGGTTCTCACTTGACCCAATCAAAGAGCCATCACTTAAAGACCAGAACTCCCATTTTCCTGGATTGTGGAAGGGAGCGTGGTGAGCACTTGCAGGCGAGGCCTCCTTCCCATGAACCTGTTCTTCAGAGCAGGTCCCAAATTACCTCCTGAAGAGGTTGGCTCTACAGGTAGGTCCTCTACACACCTGTGGGTGCAGCAAGGGTGGGTGGCCCTTCTGCAGACATTGCCCACAACAGGCTGTGCTTCTTATTTATGTGCATATTAGTATTGTATATTTAACTGCAATATAGAAAGAAGGAAATCTCTATTTCCAGGAAAAGGATTTAAGACATTGTCAACATAAAAACTAGTTTGAAGGGAATTCAGTAAACAAAAATTTTCTAAGGGAGACCTGGGGGGCAGGTGGGTAAGAATTCACGTAGGCACAGTGGTTCTCCCAGCATCATCTGGGAATGCATTAGAAATGCAAATTATCAGGCTCCACCTCAGGCAGACTGCATCAAAAACCCTGGGACCTGGGAGCAGGTGCCTGTGTTGTAACAAGCCCTGCAGGTGATTCTCATAGCGCTCAAGTTTGAGAGGCAATGATGGAGGAAGTGGGTCTCAACTTTGGCTATACTTTAGAGCCACCTGGGAAGCTTTAGCACTCTCAATGCCCAGGTGCTACTGCAGACCAATGACAGTAGAGTCTTGGGAGGGAGGAGTCAGGTGTATGGGGGCCACGTGCATCAGTGTGTGTCTACCAAAAAGACACCTGCATTTTTATGTCCATTGCAGCACTGTTTTCCGCTCTCCACGGAAGTGTCAATGTGCAGCCAGAGTTGAGAACCTCTGGTTGAGAGATATTGGTGGATATGTAGCCAGATCAGACAAAAGGCCAAATAACTGGTTGTAAGGAAATATACATCTTTTAAAATGGTTGTTTCTGTTTCCAATAGACAGAATCTACTGGAATCCAATTTTAAATTTACAGTTTTAACTGTTTATCCTCCTCCTGCTCCTCTTCCTTCTCTTCCTCCTCCTCCTCCTCCTCCTGCTATTCCTCCTCCCCCTGCTCCTCCTCCCCTCCCCCCCTGCCCCTCCTCCCCTCCCCCTGCCCCTCCTCCCCTCCCCCTCCCCCTGCCCCTCCTCCCCTCCCCCTCCCCCTGCCCCTCCTCCCCTCCCCCTCCCCCTGCCCCTCCTCCCCTCCCCCTCCACCCTGCCCCTCCTCCCCTCCACCCTGCCCCTCCTCCCCTCTCCTCCCTCTCCACTTCCTCCCCTGCCCCTCCTCCCTTCCCCCCTCCCCCACCCCTCCTGCCAAGGCCCCCCTCCCCTTTCCCCCTCCCCCTTCCCTTCCTCCCCCCTCCCCTGCCCCATCCGCCTTCCCCTCCTCCCCCTCCCGCTCTCCCTCCTGCTCCTCCTCCTCCTCCTCCTCCTCTTTCTTTTTACTTAGCCCAAGCAAGGAGGTTCTAGGAACTGGAGTGCAGTGATATAATCATAGCTCACTGTAGCACCTAACTCCTGGGTTCAAGTGATCCTTCCCCCTCAGCCTTCTGAATAGTTTGGATGACAAGCAAGAACCACTGCACCTGGCTAACCATTTTTAAGTGTGCAGCTCAGTGACATTAAGGACAATCACATTGTTGTGCAACCATCACCACTATCCATTCAAAGAATATTGTTCATCTTGCAAAACTGAAACTCTATGCCCATATAACAACTCCCATTCCTTCTTCCTGCCATGTTTTTTTAAAAAGGCATTTTGAAAACCAATGGTAACTTACCAAGTCATGGACATAGCACATACAGGGAGTAACAGCCACCAGAAATAGTCTCCCTTGTCCGAAAAGACAGCCATGAGTATTCCCACCAGGGTGGCATTGTAGCCATAGAGCCCAGATGCTGTTAATGACCTGCGGGGCAAGAGACACAGCATGGACATTTCCTGGGTGGGCTTCGGTTGCACTTGCACATAAATAACACTAGTAACTTCCAGATCATATTCATATTAAAACATGAAATTATATTTGGAAATGTATCTCAAAGTCTATGTAAGCATCGTACAAAAACTAATAAAGACATTAAGTGAAATATACATAGATAAAAATATAAATGTGCATTTAGATCAGCAGTCCCCAACCTTATTGGCCCCAGGGACAGGTTTCATGGAAGACAATTTTCCATGAAAAGGGAATGGGGGATGATTTCAGAATGAAACTGTTCCACCTCAGATTATCAGGCATTAGATTCTCATAAGGAGTGAGCAACCTAGATCCCTCGCATGCGCAGTTCATAATGGGGTTCACACTCCTATGAGAATCTAATGCTGCTGCTGATCTGACAGTGGGCGGAGCTCAGGTGGTAATGCTCCTCGCCCACCGCTCACCTGCTGTGCGGCCCAGTTCCCACAGACAGGCCACAGACTGGTACCTGTCTCCAGTGCAGGGGTTGGGGACCCCTGATAGAGAACGACTCCCTCTACAGGTGTCACAGTTAAAGACAGGTCTACAGCGGCTGAGAGGAAAGGGGAGTTTAGCAAGGCAATCTGCTCTATTTTAGCCTTTCCTTTGGAAAGTTATTCTTTTAAATCAAGAGCCTCTGACTTGAATAGCACTTTTAGCATATGAAACTGTTGCCTAAGTTTGATTTCTTGGTGAGAGAGATTCCTGAAATGTAAATTCACTTTCTAGTGTCTTTGATCTTATCAACATTAATCTTCCAGCTTAGTATACATTTTTGTGTTCTGATACTTCTATTTTGTTGTCTCCAAACATACATTTCAAAGTTATTGCAAAGAAGGATTGCTTTTCTCTTACTTGGAGAAGTACCCCATTTAATTATGTGTTTGTTGAGCACCCAATTCTTTCTGAGGTTACTTTTTGCTTAGTATTCAATCTCATTTCTTCCCCATCTTCTCCTTTAGATTGAAGGGGTACATGTGCAGGTTTGTTACATAGATATATTGCATGATGCTGACTGAGGTTTGGGCTTCTATTGAATCCGTCACTCAAATAGTGAACAAAGTACCCGATAGGTAGCTTTTCAACCCTTGTTTCCCTTCCTCTCCTCTGTTGGAGTCCCAGTTGTCTACTATTTCTGTGTCCATGTTTACCCAATGTTTAGCTCCTAATTATAAGTGAAAACGTGCAGTATTTGATTTTCTGTTACTACCTTAATTCACTTAGGATATTGGCCTCCAGGTGCATCCACGTTGCTGATTTCAATCGTTTTTATGGCTATGTAGTAGTTCATGGTGTATATGTACTACATATTCTTTATATAATCCACTGTTGATGGGTACCTACATTGATTGACCTGACACGCCAGGACTCCCACAACTCAGAGTTGGCAGTGTCTGGCACCATGAAAGGCACAGGATCCACTTCCCAAGGGCCTGTCACTCAAGGGTGATGTCTATAGGGGGACAGGGGAGTAAAGATGGTGAAGCGGGTGGGTGAGGCCTAATGCTGGGCTCGAACAGGAGGTGCTACAGCCAATGAGCCACACCGCAGGGGCTGGTAAAAGATAGCATGACAGCTGCTTCTTGACTTGTTTCCAACTGGGCCAGGAGGCACCATTGCAACAGGCAAGAGGATGTCACGTACATTAATCGGATGAACATTAGAGGTGGGATTCCCTATTCAAAAGTTCTTTGTCTCCCTTAAATAATCCTTGAGGGCAAATGGGAGGTGATGCAATAAATGGTGCAAGCCAGAAACTGGGACTACACATGACAATGGAGAACTATGCAGACTTGTCCTCTCAACAACTGACTTGGAGATGTTAATGCTTGAGTTTGATCAGTGGAAAATTAATGGCCACATCTACAAGTTGTGGAGTGCCATAGTTAAAGCCACAGGAAGACATATATTTACTTAAAACAGAAGATTGCCATTTTAATGCAGTCTTTTCAGACCAAGGAAAGTAAAACATCTGAAACTAACACATATGACTTGTCTTCTAAATGATATCTGATAAAATATGAGTTGATCATATTTCATTGGAGCAAAATAATAAAGGAATATTCAATATAGCACAATTCTAGACTCTATCCCCAAACTGAGAAGACTTTCTTGGCATGCATTGGAATAGAGTTTAACCTAGGCTATAAAATCCTCTTCTACGGGGAGCAAATCAGACTCTTTGAAATTGATGGAAAAGTGGAGCATTTGCTAACTCTCTCCCCATGGACCTCTTTAGGCAATTTGCAGCGAGTGTTACAAGAGCTTAGTTGTGTAATGACCACACTTGGGAGTATGCATTGATCCCAGACACCTAGAATACTGGTTCCCTCCCTGAAGGAACTGGCCAGTGGGGAGCTGTCTACTACCCTGGTGAGAGTCAGCTCATCACTTCGTCAATGACAGATCAATTAATAAAGTGCATGCTGTTTCTAATCTAATGAATATATCGGAACACCCACTAAGGCTTCTTAAGTCAGAATCCACTTAATTGGAATTTATGGTAAGTCTTTCCTCCAGGAGCTGAGGTGACCTTTGGTAATTCTTTTCTCCAGGAGCTGAGCTGACCTTTGCACTGTCTATGAAGAATGAGTTTGCTAAACTCATCATGGCAGCAAGATATAAAGGGTGTTATTAAGCCACTAAAACTTTTCCTGAATTCATATGCACTTTTTTCCCAAGTAGAATGCTGATGACAAATAATTTTGTCAATCATTAAAGAAGATCCCTTCAGAACCTCTCCAGGGAATTACTTACAGCTTAGTCCTGGTTAGGATATAATGCCACAAGAATCTGGCATCATTTAGACCAGCCACTTATTCAGATATCAAGAGCAAGAGACTGGAACTGATTCCCTGACCTCTGACTAAAAACAAATATAAAGAGTTCTGTGGACTAAAGGTTGTTTCTTCTGGGAAGGATGTGATTTTATCACTGTTGCCCATAGTAACTTGTCAGCCCCTGTGTCTTAGAAGGGAGCTGAGAAGGCTTGAAAGGGTACACCTACCTGTCCTGGCTGAGCAAGAGGGCCGTCAGAGTGGAGACCACTGTTCCCAGCCAGCCAGTGAGAGCCCACCAGGGGTTCTGAAAAAGAAGTCCCACCAGAATCAGGATTCCACTGATGGGGTTGTTGACGAACACCACTTGGGATATGCCCCGGAGAATCCAGTCAATGAACTGGAGCACCGCAGGTTTGTCTGGAAGGGATGAGGTAAAGCAGAGCTAAGGAAGCAGCCAAGTGAGACTCCTCAACCACAGGCCCACCCTGAGCAAAATCGGCAAAACCTCCTGGAAGTGAAACATTTTTGATATTTCTTTAATATTTCTTTCTGAACCCATTGTCGCTTTAGTGGCACCCAGATTCCTGAAAGCATCTGTCTACAGTATGCTCAACCCACACTGCCCCTCCTAGAATCTAAGCTCCTGAAAACATCTAATGCGCTTATTTATCATGCTTATAGGCACAAACTCTGAAGCCAAAGGAATGAGTTACCAATAGTAAAATTTAAGTTTTAAGTACTGAAACTACAAGATGAAGCCAGGTGTCTTCTCATAGGAGCTGGGCCCTGGCTACTGTCTCCATAAGAAAAAAAAATGGTGGAGAGGTTTGCAGGTTAAAAGATAAAAAGTAAAAAAAAAATATGGTGAGTAAAGAGATTTATAAAAAGTTGGAGAACATGACTAAAGATATAAGTAGAAGTACCAGGAAACCATTTCCCCCAAAGCTACTTCTCCTGCCTCTCCAAAAAGATGAAAGGATAAATACCTTTAAGCCAGTTGGCAAGTTCTTTCATATCGCCGGTGACGTAGCCAAGAGCTTTGGGGAAGCACCTTCTCCCTTTACATGGTGAAACCTGGTTTTCACCCATGTCCACTCTAACCATAGTGGGGCTGTCCTCCATGGCCGTCTCTTCTTCTGGCTCCTTAAGGGAAGGACAGAGCTTATAAGTATCCCTAAGGCAGAGCCCTCCGGATCAGCCAGCCTTGGGCCTGGTTACAGTAGAAGATCTGGACCACTGTGTTCCATAGAACTAAGAGAGCACCGTTTTCCTCCTGAAACACCACCACAGAGCTTATTACCCAAACTCAAATCCCACTGTACCTTTGCCATCAGTGTCTCTAATGCTACCATGGAAAGGTTCTGTTCTTTAATTTCGTAAGGTTCAGTGTCTGGTCCAACAAACATTTACTGAGCACGTATTTCCTGCACTTAAGGAGCTCAGTCTAGTTGAGAAGACTGAAAAACAGTTAATGTCAACAGAATGAGTCAAATCATGTAGAAAGAGCTAAAATTAAGTGTGTTAACTCCATGCTGTCATTTAAGGAGTAAGAAATCGGGTTATGGAATGGCCTGCTCACCAATGCGGGCTGAGCAGCTACTTGCCAAGACAGGTAGCCTTTTTAAATTTTCATTTTACAAAATTTTGTTTTTAAAATATTGAAAGGGAAGAATGTTTAAAAATTGTGTGAGTTGACATGGCCTCCCCACCCTCTGGAAGTCTAAGATTGCTTGAATTTGTCCTTATGTCATGTGACTGTCTCAGATACTCTTTACTTTTGGAATTTGTTATTTAAATGTGTAAAACCAGGCAAGAAGGATATTTCACCAAGATAGAGAAACTGGGAAAGATGGAATTGGACAAAGCTGTTGAAAACCAAAGAGTTGTAATCTAAGGATTGTATGATAGAAAAATGTACAGGGCAAAATTATAGGAAACATGTCTCTGGAACATATGAACACTATAACCATGACTGTGTTCACTATGGGACCATTCACTTGTCATGATAAGTATCTGCAAGAAAGCACCAATATCACCAGAATTTGGTACCTTGAAGACAAAAATGATTTCATTGTGCTGATAGTAGATGCAAAAGAATACCAGTGGCATAATCCCAGAGGCAGGCTGAGGGAGGAAGCCAATGGCAAAACCACCTTGAGTGTGCAAGAACAGTCAACAGCACAGCCAGGTCAATTGGGAAGCAGAGAAACGCCAAAATCATCAGACCCTGGAAGGCATAATTGTGAAATGTTGAAGCCACAGCCACATAAGACATGACCAAAGAAACACTGCATGCCTCTGCTGCAGTGACCCATTTTCAAAGCCATACCAACTTATGGGAGGCATCAGGCTTCAGCTCAGGCAAGGACAAGCAGCCCAAAGACATAACTGCCTTGAGTTTCTGGAACTGAATCTATAAAACCCTAAGGTGGCAGCATCAAATGAAAACACTCAAGCAGCATTTTCCATCAACTCCCAAAGCAGGAACATGGGCTATTTCAGAATAAACAAATTCATGTTCTCAAAATTCTCAGCATATATTTGTTCTAGAGGGCTTGAAATAGCCCATCACCTCAGATTTTGGAGATACAGATTTGAAACCTGATAATATAACTGGCCAGACGTGATTGAGAACCTGAATGGCCTGAGTCTCCTGTTGAGCCACCCAGAGTTAAGTAAAGATTAAACTAGTTTTCTCCAAATCAACAGCCCAACATATAGGAGACTTATTGCCATTTGTGAATCTAATTTCAACATAATTGGGATGGGTTGTAGGGCTAGGATGTTCTGCAGAGAGGGGTCTTCTCATGACCTGAGCAGACAGTTGCTGCTATTTTGGAGTCCCCAGGAACCATTTATTCTGAACTGCTTAACCCTTCTGGAGCCCCTAGGAGCCCTGACTACTCGCTCTAGAAGTCAGGAATGAGAACCACTTAGGAGAAATCCATCACTTACAGTTGTAGTTTGCCCTAGAATTTTGCCATGCTAGAATATTTGCATTTCTTAGGGAACTTTAAGAGTCCACACATCCTAACTGGGAAGACAAGGCAAGGCTATGGAGCCAGGACCTTCTGCTGATATTCAAACATCTTAGCCCCAGTGAAGTAGGCCATTAATTTCAACTAAGAAGAAGGGACAATAAATAAAAGGCACTCTAATAAAATAGACGCAGGGTAAATGTAAAACTCCAGGTGACTTCTCCCCCAGCTTTTCCTTGGCTGTCAAAACTCGGCTCAATGGTCCAGTCTCTAAACCAAGGTGAGCACTGTCGGACTTTTTGGACCAAGATCCCTGTGCCTTTGACTCAGCTCACAGCCAACCCCCACTTCCCAGGATCTGCCCAGAAAAGATACACCTGAGTTTGGAGCAGGCTCCCAGGTCCCCCGAGCCAGAGGCTGCACGAAGGAAGCATACCTGTTCCTGCGACCCATCTGCCAGGGCCAAGTTTAGCCGGGTGATGCCTCTGCGCGCTGCTTCACCAGCTCTAGTTCCAAAAGGGTCCTTCCAAACGGGACCATGACAGGCGTCACCAGCGCCGCCAATCAAAGACCGTCCATTCATCCTTACTTTTTCTCAATACATGACAAAGGGCAAAAATATGTGAATCAGTATGACATGTGCCCTAGCTCTAATGACCACGCAAAAGGCAAGCTGAGCAGGGCTGGAGCCTGCCCAGTGGGTTCCTGGTGAGGGAAGATGTGACCCCACACGGGAGACCTCTAACAGAGGGGGAGGACTTTGCCTTCACCAAAGTGCTCTCAGTGGGCGGAGCACAACCAGCTGTCTATGGAAATTAAATGTTCATTTACTTTGCTTAAAAAAACAAAATGGGAAGTCATCCTACACAGGGACCAATGACCAGATTTCGTTCTGCTGCGTGTCTCTGCTGTTGGATCTGAAGCCGCCTCTTCCAGAGGGGGAGGAGGGGGTTCACATTCTGATATGTTTGGGGGCAGATTGTGAGGGCTGCATCTTGAGGACCAACACCAAAGCAACAGGTTGCCCCACAGCAGGTTCCCCTGGCCTTGTTTATGAAATGTGAGAAGGATACATGATGTGGGCTCTGTTTTCTATAGTAAGATAATAGCCACGCTTTGTATGCATTCACAAGCCTGCTTTAAGAGACTCTTAAATGGTGTTTTTGTTTGTTTGTTTGTTTTCTGTGCTACCACATCCAATTTATTTTATTTTATTTTTATTTTTCCTTTTTGCAGAGACAAAGTCTCATTGTATTGTCCAGGCTGGTTTTGAATTCCTGGCCTGAAGCGATCCTCCCACCTCAGCCTCCCAAAGCACTAGGATTACAGGCATAAGTCATCATGCCAGGCCAGGAACTCTTAAATTTTGAACATCACTTTGTTAATAATAAACAGTTTTTAGTTGAATTCCACAAGTGTGGCAGCTTTTGGTAAATTTTCTTTTTCCTTTTTAAAACTTCCATTGCATCCAAGAATATCACTCCTTTTCCAGAAGTTCTGAAACAGTTGTGTGTGTGGTATTTCTCTTTTTCTCCCCCTGTTGTTTATTCTGTTTTTACTTTTTTCTACTGGCTTGGCCTGAAACCTGAAAACCTACCCTTTACCAGAGTGACTTGGAAAAATCCAGTGTTGGGAAATACTTCTGACATGTCTCAGGTAAAAACTGTGTATGTGCATGCATGTGTGTGTATTTACCTGTGTATGTGCATGCATGTGTGTGTATTTACCTGTGTATGTGCATATGCATGTGTGTGTATTTACCTGTGTATGTGCATGCATGTGTGTGTATTTACCTGTGTATGTGCATGCATGTGTGTGTATTTACCTGTGTATGTGCATATGCATGTGTGTGTATTTACCTGTGTATGTGGATGCATGTGTGTGTATTTACCTGTGTATGTGCATATGCATGTGTGTGTATTTACCTGTGTGTATGCATGCATGTGTGTGTATTTACCTGTGTATGTGCATGCATGTGTGTGTATTTACCTGTGTATGTGCATATGCATGTGTGTGTATTTACCTGTGTATGTGCATATGCATGTGTGTGTATTTACCTGTGTATGTGCATGCATGTGTGTGTATTTACCTGTGTATGTGCATATGCATGTGTGTGTATTTACCTGTGTATGTGCATGCATGTGTGTGTATTTACCTGTGTATGTGCATGCATGTGTGTGTATTTACCTGTGTATGTGCATGCATGTGTGTGTATTTACCTGTGTATGTGCATGCATGTGTGTGTATTTACCTGTGTATGTGCATGCATGTGTGTGTATTTACCTGTGTATGTGCATATGCATGTGTGTGTATTTACCTGTGTATGTGGATGCATGTGTGTGTATTTACCTGTGTATGTGCTATGCATGTGTGTGTATTTACCTGTGTGTATGCATGCATGTGTGTGTATTTACCTGTGTATGTGCATGCATGTGTGTGTATTTACCTGTGTATGTGCATATGCATGTGTGTGTATTTACCTGTGTGTATGCATGCATGTGTGTGTATTTACCTGTGTATGTGCATGCATGTGTGTGTATTTACCTGTGTATGTGCATGCATGTGTGTGTATTTACCTGTGTATGTGCATGCATGTGTGTGTATTTACCTGTGTATGTGCATGCATGTGTGTGTATTTACCTGTGTATGTGCATGCATGTGTGTGTATTTACCTGTGTATGTGCATGCATGTGTGTGTATTTACCTGTGTATGTGCATATGCATGTGTGTGTATTTACCTGTGTATGTGGATGCATGTGTGTGTATTTACCTGTGTATGTGCATATGCATGTGTGTGTATTTACCTGTGTGTATGCATGCATGTGTGTGTATTTACCTGTGTATGTGCATGCATGTGTGTGTATTTACCTGTGTATGTGCATGCATGTGTGTGTATTTACCTGTGTATGTGCATGCATGTGTGTGTATTTACCTGTGTATGTGCATGCATGTGTGTGTATTTACCTGTGTATGTGCATGCATGTGTGTGTATTTACCTGTGTATGTGCATGCATGTGTGTGTATTTACCTGTGTATGTGCATGCATGTGTGTGTATTTACCTGTGTATGTGCATGCATGTGTGTGTATTTACCTGTGTATGTGCATGCATGTGTGTGTATTTACCTGTGTATGTGCATGCATGTGTGTGTATTTACCTGTGTATGTGCATGCATGTGTGTGTATTTACCTGTGTATGTGCATGCATGTGTGTGTATTTACCTGTGTATGTGCATGCATGTGTGTGTATTTACCTGTGTATGTGCATGCATGTGTGTGTATTTACCTGTGTATGTGCATGCATGTGTGTGTATTTACCTGTGTATGTGCATGCATGTGTGTGTATTTACCTGTGTATGTGCATGCATGTGTGTGTATTTACCTGTGTATGTGCATGCATGTGTGTGTATTTACCTGTGTATGTGCATGCATGTGTGTGTATTTACCTGTGTATGTACATGCATGTGTGTGTATTTACCTGTGTATGTGCATGCATGTGTGTGTATTTACCTGTGTATGTGCATATGCATGTGTGTGTATTTACCTGTGGTGAACTAGCTGGCTAGTTCTGTACCACACTGATGTGCCTGCGTGTTGCATTATGAATATTTTTATTTGATAAAGAACAAATGGTTAAGAAACCCAGTGGTAGGGATCTCATGTTATATAAAGCTAAAAACAAAGAAGAAAGAGTGAAGAATGAAAAAAGAGACAAGCAGGGGTTGTCACATTCTCTCAGTGTGGACGCCTTCCCCTTCTGCCCCTGCCTGGCGCCCGCCTTTCCCCTACCACCAATATCACACACCTTGGAGAACCCCTTCCTTGAGCTCAACATCAATCTTTTCCTAGAACCAAGAGATAGGGAAATTTGAGAGCTAGGTAGGATTTTAGAGACCACATAGTTCAAGCCTTCATTTTATATAAGAGAAAACCGAGGTTCAGAGTGGGCACCATCCAAATTCACTCAGCATGTGGCAGGCAGAGTGGGTCTTACGGAATAGGTCAGCTCTGGTTCTCAATTTTTCAGTCGAGCCAGGCACATTAATGCCACCCAAGGTTCTGTTCAAGTCGACAAACAAGTGAAGCAGCAGTTTCTGTGTGCTGGAGTAGGCAGTGGGGGCTAGGACTCAGCGATGCGGTGGGCACAGACTGTCTTCACGGTCACTTTGAACTAATCTTCAGGTGGGGGTTGAACAACCACAAAGAAAGAGCTCTGCGATCCCCACTTTCACTCTATGCTCTTGTCAGAAGCAGTTACTCTCTGACAAATGTCTCCCTGTGCCTCAAAGCTGACACATCTACAGCAAGACTTGTGTGTGCTGAAGTTAACATCCCAAGAATATCCTGGAAGCTGCACCTGAAGAGCTTTCCAGCAGAAGTGAAAAAGCGCTTTTCATATCCCAGGTCACTAGTAAAATGAAGCAGTGCTTAGCATTTTTAATACAAGGCAATATCAAGATTTCAATTCAACTAATATCCTCTATTTTATTACACAAAATGAAATACATTCTATTGCCAGCATGTACTAGAAGTTTGTGCAATTGGAGAGACCTGAAGTCTTCAATTTTCCATGCTTCAGCTATTACTTTTAAAAATAATATGAAGTGTTGGATATGGATATAGAAGAAAGCATTTAAACACTCATGCTCTAGCATAATAAAGAGACTTTCAGCATTGACACTTATTTGGTACTTACTATAATCTTTATTTTATGTAGTTTTTGATTTTAAGTAGCAGGAGATGCCCAGTTTTCTTTAAAGCTGTAATTGGAGACAAAATGCTGTCAGATATTCCTGTATCCTGGTTAAAACTCTTCCCTCCTCAGAAAACGCTACTCCCAGAAGTCTTGATTGCAGACACCAGAGAGTGCAGCTGCAAGGAAGCTGCCAAATTCGTGGCTTCAGTTGTGACTGACTCGTTCTCCCGATGGGTGCACAAGAACATTCCCCTCAGCATGACAGCACATGCAGAGGAGTACATAAATCCATCACTGGAAAGGGCCATTCCCAGCGGCCCACTTTTTTCTTTTGAGTCACGTAGACACTTGTCTCAAACTTATTTCAAGAACACAGCCTGAATTATGATTTCAAGAACACAGCCTGAAACTCCTAATGGTGTTGATTCACTCAGACTCATTGAGCGCACTGGGTGGACACCTCCCTGCAAACCTGCTTCCACATGAACTCAGGTGCTGCATGCACCTTGCTTCAGAAATCACGAATAAAGGCCTGCCTTTGAGCTTCCAGGAGGAAGCTGTGGCTTTGGTAAATTGCTTTCTAGTCTACCAGAACTCTGATTTTGCTGCTTCTCATCAATTCTGGTGAGATAAAACATTCTCTTCTGAAGAAAAAGAGAAAAAGAGCAAGACTTAGAACTGTGAAGACAAGCCCCAAATGATGACTAGTTGGAAATGAATAGAAATGAGGATGGGTACTTACACCACTCTAGCAGGCTTCCCGGCAGCAGAAGGCAGTGGCTGATAGAGATTTGCCTGGCTCCACGACAAGGGAGAGTGCTTCTCAGGAGATGGTGCTGAAGGGAGGCACCTAACAGTTATATACCCAGAGCCCCGCTCTGCTCTGTGTGTTTGTGGGCTCGGCTTTCTCCTCCCACTTCAGGCATCAATGCCAAAGCAACACTAAGGAACTGGTCCCCTGGCTTCAGTAACTGATGTCTCTCTCTGTTCTTGACATGGTGCCAACTGCTTTGCCACTGTTTCCACAGCATTCCAGGGTCTTTGACCAGCAATAATCCTACAAAAATACATCTTTTTCTTCTCCTGTTTCCTCTGGCCCCTACTCATATTTTTGGAAATATTTACAACTGGAAAGGATCAACACAGTGTCAAACTAAAAACCATGGGGCAGGTTGCTGCTGTGTGGACTCGGAAGCTAAGCGACTGCTCCTGGGGTGAAATTTTCTTAGACTTGACACAACTTCCACACAGATGTAAGACTCCAGCAAGGGCCTGAGGGGCTGTTGGGAGGGTGGGGAAGACAAGGTACGGGCAAGTTGTTTTCTGAAAGTCAGCTGCCCTTTTTCCCAGTGAGGAGAAAACAAAAATGTGTTTCCCTGGAATATCCTTCTTCCCAGGTGAGAATTCTCGGACATACTCTGCTGCCTTTTTAAAAGTCGGGAAGCAAACATTCCATAGCAGGGAAATTTAAAACTGAATTAAAATATCTCCTCCTTACCCCTTCTTTTTAAATTTCAATTTTGTGGCTTGTTCTGTTATGGCAAAAATCTAACTCATATGTACTTTTATGAGCACAGAATTTAAAATGTATGTATATATGTATGATCCCACAACCAGTCATGCAGATGTCATAGGTCTTCTTTCGTCTGGGTCTCCCGCCTGCTTGGATGTGCAGATAATACTTATCAGCCTTCGGCAAGGTGGCCCGTGGCTGGGAGCTCTCTGGCTCCACCCGCTGGACACCCGCCAGACCGCAGGGTTCTTGTCTGCTTGGGACATCCTTCCTCCCAAGTGCCTCCTGAGCAGCTCAGGCAGAGTGTGTATAGGTCTAGGTTTATAATAAGAGTTTTGAGGTTCAGGCAAGTCTCCTTCCAACTTTTTTTCCTTGGTAAAATAAGGAGAAAATAAGCTGCTAGGGTTTCCCTGAAGGAGGAAAATGAATCACCAGGAGACAGTGTGAGTGGCCTGCTTTGGGAATGAAAGGAATCATACTAGTGTCTCCATGACTTCCTTATGCGAATGGGCCACTGTCCCTGATAGAAATAATCGTGATAATGATAGTAATGAGAATAATAACTGCCACAAATGGTTGAGCATTCGCAAAAATCCTATATTATACTATTGTCCCCATTTTGTAGATGAGCAAACTGAGGCTCAGAGTTTAAATAACTTGCTCAAAGTCTGACTCAAATTTTATACTTTTTTTTTTCAAATTTTGTACTTTTAACCACTCTAGTGCTGTCCAATATTTCCAGCTTCTTCCTGTATGTTTGCTTTTCATTAATGCCTTCACTCAACTTGGCCATGATGCATATTTATGAACCTCGTCCTGAAGCTGCCTCCACATGACACCTATGCAGCCTTCTGCCTCAGTGGCCCTGGTCAGGGCTGAGGGTGTGTAGTGAGTCTCAGGTCTTCTTGGAAAAACCACCTCCTTCTGTACCCACCCTCCCTCCCTGGCCTTTTTCCTGGTCCCTGTAAAGCCACACCTTAAGCGGGGGTCACAAAATATAGCCTTGCCATATTGTATGCACAAGGCAGCGCAAGTCACATGGAATTCCAAGTCAGATAAACCTGAGTTTGAATACTGGCTTTTCTCTGTCAAGCTGTATGACCTCAGGCATGTTACTCACTGTTTGTGAGCCTCAGATTCCTCAGTGTAAAGTGGGGTAACTTTACTTCCTTTATAATGTTGTGATGAGGGATGACATCTTTAACGCACCATGCTGAACATGTAGAGGTGCCACCATTCTGATGTCTGCCCCTCTCAGTCAGCACTGGTTACCTTGCGGATTTCCAAATGGAACCTTCCTCCTGGCTTGAATAAGGGGACACGCTGCTCTCTGCTTTGATATTAGAAGGAGTGCAGTTATGAGTACAGAGGAAACCATTCACTTCATTCAAGAACTGTGAACTAGGTAACTTTCTGATGCAAGACATGCATATCTGTGTTCTCGGTGCTTTTAAGCAGCCTAATTTTTCATACAATGACCTTTTCCCTGTTCTTTCTATAGCAGCTCCTTTATTATTTCCAGAGAGTCGTTTGCTGAGTGTTCATGCCCTAACATTGTCTTTCCTTTGTCTTTCCTTTGCATCTCCTCTTTGGGTGCCCCTCTCTGTTCCCATACCACGTGAATGCACCTTCCATCTCTCTGCCTGGAACAATCACAAATGAACATACATAAAGCTGCTCTCCTCTACGACTTTCTCCTTGGAGTTTCTGCCCCTAGGATGTTTTCTCTCTCCTCCCCCTCCCCATGCTCTGCCCAAATCTATTTGGATTTCCCAGTGGGCTTCTGTGCACTTAAAGCAGTTTCCATCTCTATTCCTCACTGGGCATGAAATCATGCCCCCCAGCTCTGCAACAGTTCTGGTACTGTCTTTTATTATTATTTTTAAATATATCTTACGATGCACAGTCCCATCCGAGCCAGAAAGTACAGGATGATGAAGTCAGGATCCAATAGCTCTCTTTGTTCATAATGGACCTCTCTCTTTCCAGAAAGATTTTGAGGCAGTTCATCAAATATATGTAAGAGGACATAAGGACTAGGTGACAAAATGGAGAAAGGAGAATGCAACTATGGATAAAACACAATTTTTTTTTTTTTGAGACGGAGTCTCACTCCGTCGCCCAGGCTGGAGTGCAGTGGCCGGATCTCAGCTCACTGCAAGCTCCACCTCCTGGGTTCACGCCATTCTCCTGCCTCAGCCTCCCGAGTAACTGGGACTACAGGTGCCCGCCACCTCGCCCGGCTAGTTTTTTTTGTATTTTTTTAGTAGAGACGAGGTTTCACCGGGTTAGCCAGGATGGTCTCGATCTCCTGACCTCGTGATCCGCCCGTCTCGGCCTCCCAAAGTGCTGGGATTACAGGATAAAACACAATTTTCATATTTTTTCTACAATACCTTGCATTTGTAGGTGTTTCTAAATTTGTGTCGTTTTAATCTGAAATTATAGCACTGTTTCACTAGATTGCTGCTTGATACTGATCTACGCATAGGCAATTTAATGTTACAAATAATTGGCACCTCAAGAGTATGTAATTGGGCAGTGCCCACACTGAGGAATTCTACAAGACATTCTCATGCTTTTATGTCCCCTCACCCCCCCCCAAGGAGAGTGGCAAGGACTGCAAGTCTGGAACAGAATGTTCCTTTGCAGTGTGTTCTGAGCCCACTGACTTCTTTGGTTTGGCAAACAGTCAGACAAAAAGGCGCCAGACGAGAGCCAAAACTTCCAGAATGACACTTGGAGGGGATGTTTTGTGGTAGGCATACCCTAGAGTGAAGCCAAGGGCCAAGCCAGCGCAGAGTACAAAAGTGTCACTCAAACCTCCACCGCCTGCCGTTGCTGGGGGAACACGATGGGTGATGAAAGGAGGCACTGAGGTCCCTAAGTTTTTAGCTCCCTTTAAATGCAGTCCTGAAATTATTTCATCCATTTTAGAAGTAAAAGGGGTTCAATAGCTGGGAGCATCCAAAGATGTTGTTCCTCCTTCACAAAGCAGAGGGTCCAGGTAGTCTCCATCCCTACCTACAACTTTCATCAGATGCCCACCTGTCACCTTTCCATCTTTTAAATTAAAATCATACTAGTGTAAGGCTCATAATGTGGTCTCTGGTGTCATGGGCCAATGTGTAAGGGTGTGCAGGTTGTGCACTGCACAAATGCACCACGCCTAAGGGGGTCACTATTAGTGTTCTACACATTTATGTGTTTATTGCAACAAAGTTCTTGCAGATGGCACTAAAATGTCTTGAGAAAAGGGGTGCTAGTGTGTCTGTGCAAGGAGCCATATTGTCTAGCAATACCTTTAGCTTTTAAAAATTTTCATTTTTGTTTTTTTTTTTTTGAACACTGAGAAGCTAGCTTTTGTTTCTTCTTTTTTTTTTTTTTTTTTTTTTTTTTTAAGAGAGAGAGTCTTGCTCTGTTGCCCAGGCTGGAGTGCAGTGGTGTAATCTTAGCTCACTGCAACCTCCACCTCCCAGGTTCAAGGGATTCTCCTGCCTCAGCCTCCTGAGTAGCTGAGATTACAGGCATGTACCACCATGCTTGGCTAATTTTATATTTTTAGTAGAGACAGGGTTTCACCATGTTGGCCAGGCTGGTCTCAAACTCCTGACCTCAAGTGATCCGTCCGCCTCAGCCTCCCAAAGTGCTGGGATTACAGGCATGAGCCACCACTCCTGGCAAGAAGAAAGGCTTCCCTGACCAGGAATCAGACCAGGGCCATGGTGGTGAGAGTGCCAAATCCCATCCACTAAACTACCTGGGGCATCATCCAGCCTCCCACGCTTGCGCCTTTTGCTTCTTCAAGATTTAAAAAAAAAAGTCATTTTCCAATGAGGAACAATAGGAAAAGAGGTAGGAGAATCTTTTCAATCTTTTTAGGCTCAGATGAGAAAGAGAGTAAAGTGTTGGGAAAAATGAGGGGTGGGGACTGGCATGGCCGCGTTTCCTTAGGCCCTCTGCGGAGGGTAAACCACACGCATCGGATTGTTCTCTCACTGTGAAAGATATGGGGAAGCTGGCCGCAAGCTCAGGAAGTTGAGCTCGATGTGATAATTGGGCCAGGAAGAGGAGGTGGGATGGCCTGGCATCACCGTTGCGAATGGGACTCGCTGGGCACCCAGATCGATCTACTACCTTTTTGTCTGAAGATTTACCAAACCAAAACACCAGTGGGCTCAAAACACACTGCAAAGGAATGTTCTGTTCCAGACCTGCAGTCCTTGCCATTCTCTTTGTTGAGGGTGAGGGGACAGAGAAGCTTGAGAATGTCTTGTAGAATTCCTGAGTGTGGGCGCTTTCCAATTACATACCCTTGAGGTGAAAATTATGTGTAACATTAAACTGCCCATGCATAGATCAGGATCTGAGTTACTCACCAGGGGCCTGGCTGGGATGGGGCAGGTGTGTTAAAGTGCATCTGCTCTCTGCAACTGGGGAGATGGCAGCTGGCTCAGGCCCCTTCCTCATCATTTGTCTCAACTGGAGACTGAGTATCTGCCAGCTGCACAGTTTTGTCTGCTCAGCCTGATTTAAGGACCTTTGGGGGTTATTAGGAATCCTCCCTGTTACTGTTCCCCTGCCTTACACCAATTGGCGGCCAAGAGCTGGAGAGTGATTCAAAGTCCCTTGGCCCTGACACCTCCTCCCATTCCCCTGGCCTCTACTTTATTTTCTCTTGGTATCACTGAGGCTGGGATGCGGGGCAAAGGCAGAAGAAATTTAAGGGCAAACTGGGCAAACTATTCAATGATCTGTCCCATCAGTTGACTTGAAACTAGACCACGCTGCATCCTCAACTTCTTGAGCTGGTAAACTGAAGTATTATGATTTAACTGAGCACAGCCTTAGCAACTCTCACTATAATAGCATTGGCCTAAGAAATGTAGTTTGTAGGGATGCTACAGACATAGAGGGGAATCCCCGTACCTCTAACATGGTATCCTATTGTTAAAGAATAAACCTGACTCCAAGTTTTCTTCAA